TATATCTATATAGATATATATAGATATATATATAGATATATACAAGTACCTTTTTTTGCAATACACGATGCGCGGCTAAGCTCCGATCGTGTCCGGAAGCACAGGGAGAATCGCGGCGGGAAACCGTGCAATCTGCCCGGCGCAACTGGGGTGCCATTTGAAAATCATCGCACCCGCAGCGCGATTGGTTCACACCTTGGCGACTCCTAACCGCGCGGCAATCCACGCAGAATCGTGCACGATTGCCGCACGGTGAGGTGTCGCCGAGGTGTAAACCTAGCCTGAAAGGAATAAAGGTGACCTGACACTTTCACATAACTTCCAGGATGCACAACTACATTTTCACAGCTTGCTGCATCAGTATCCACCCTTTGTCTGACATCCATGGGTGCTGCAGTCATGTAATCTGCTTCATATAAGATGTTGGTTGGTTTTTCTGCATGTCTCACTATGCCAACTATTGTAACCTGAAACAATTCCACTTGAAGAGTTCATCCCTGTTGGTGGCAGAGAGCAGCTGAGAAACTACAGGGAACAATCTGCTGTGTCCTGGACCTAGATTTTTTTTCTCCCTGTGTAGGTGCATTGGACCCAAAACCTCCTGGTGATTGCATATACCCTCCACCACCCATGTTATAAAACATTTATTATTACCCACATTTTTGGTAAAATATAAGAGACGGGTTCATGTCGGGTAAATAGACACCAAATATGTCAAGCTTTAAAATTGCGTGCGCCTGCGAAAGTGCAAAAAACTACCATAACACTTTTAAAGCTGTTACCACTTATCAGTTTAGTGTTAACAGTAATTCATAGCCCTAGAATTATTTCTCTCACTGCAATGTTTAGGTGATATGTAACATGTGCTGCACAATAGTCCTTTTCGCACGTAGGCGCACTCGACGCATGTTTGCATGTGTATGTGGCGGCGGGGGACTTTAATTGCTTTTCTATGTGACTTTTAATTTTTTTTAAACTTTTTTCACTTAACTTTATTGCTACCACATAGGGGACTAACAAGCCAATTTTCAGTGACAGATCCTCTTTATGGAGACATCAGGGGTCTTTAAGACCCCTAATGTCACCTAGGGACCCCCAGAGAAGCTGATGAAGCAGAGATCTGCTTCACCAGCTTCTCCCTGGCTTCTGTACCGGAGAGTGACGAGGTACGAGTGGTACCACAATGCCCTGCATTCCAGTGAGGTGTGATTGCATGCACTATTTTTTGCGATTGCACCACACTGGAATGCAGGACATTGCGGTACCACGTGTCACTGTGCAGTCGATTTGCACTGCAGACAGAAGGCGTGCTTGCGGTGCCATTGGAATGAATAGGACTGCTACACCCCCTCCCACTCCAGAACACAGGGAGGGTAGGATTAAGCGGTCCAATGTGTTCATGCCATGGCACTATGAGATAAACGTACAGGATGGTGTGAATGAGCCCTCATTGAGGTGCTACAGCTGCGCCTCTTCCGATTCCTCCCCTTGATGTTCCTCTGCCTACTGCTACTTTACAGACAGAATCAAAAGGCAGAAACTTAAATGTCGGACACTTGACCGCGTGGAGAGCAAGCGCGGATAAAGTAGATCAGACAAAGCTGTTTATAGTCTTGCTTCCATCAGGGTCAGCTGCATAGGCAGCCTTCTGAGGGCGTGTGTGTGTGTGTGTAAAAATGCACCTTCGCCTGTGTATACAAAAATTCTTGCACCGGCCCTGGAGGGGAGCCTGACAGTGTCAACAGGGAAAGTGGCGCAGTGCCTTTCGGTGACCGGAGACCTTCTTTAAGAGACCCCAGATGACTTCAGCATCATCAGAGGTGTTGGCTTTAGAGGAGAAAGGGGACACCTGTCTCTCGCTGATGGACAATTATCTCTTCTGGCTGATCCTGGGAGTGGTGAGAGGCCTTTGGCCATTTGTGATATTCTTCTATTCACATCTGCAATACAGTATGGGCCCCAACGATGGCTAGCCTAGACTATTGCTACTGGCCAGTAGTATAGAGAGTTAGAGATAATTTGGGACTGAGACATTAGCAATCAAGTATTCAAAGTCAAGGATAGCATCTAAGGTAGTTTAATACTGCATATTTCAATACACGGACAGCCGTGGCTGCTGAGTGTCAGAATACCCACTGTATATTGGTAAATATTATTTTCTTCAATTATTGTGTGTTCTTTATTGCAATGTTTTACAAATATGCACTGGTTGCTTAGTAAAGCCATCACAAAACTCTCCAAGGTGTGTTGGTGTGCTGTGGATCCTGTTTGGAGCGGTACATTTTGGCTTGGGGTTACTTTGGCGGCTCTTTCAGGGGTAAGCGCTACAGCAGTTATTAATCAAAAGAAGTCTAGCAACTGCATTACTTCTTGCTTGCACTAAAAAGCAATAAGTCAGTAACATTTAGAAAAGCATACCTTTATCTACATGGTAGTAATAACTCTCTTGACACAATGCAGCCAACAAATGCAGCACACTTGAGTAGATCCGAATTTTATCATCACTATTATCTTCCCAGGTATAATCCTCAGTCACATTTAGAAGTCCTCTAACCAGGAACAGAACTCCTTGTTCTGGATGGTCCTGTAAAATACAAACAACCATTTAAAGCATGATTCTATCATATCATGTAAACAGTTAGTACCTACATAATATAGGAGAGCAGGTCTATCACGTACCTGGTAGAGAACCGAATAGGGAGGATTCGGTGACAGTGTGAGGGTGAGAGTGAGAGTGGTGACAGGGAGTGAGAGGACAGAGAGCAGCACCGGTGCCAGAGGGTGCAGGGTACTGTGCCTGGGTGAGTCCCAAGCTGGTCTCCAAGGATGCAGGTGTAGATGCAGCTTGGAAGACCACCAGAAACTGGAGCAGGACGAGGTCAGGCAAGCCAGAGTCAGTACCGATCGGGCAGTGAAGTACAAGGCGGCAGGCAGAAGAGTAGTCGAGGAGCAAGCAGAGGTCAATGGCGCCAGCAGTCAGGCATAGTCAAGAAGAACCGGGTCAGGCAGCAGAATACTGGAACAGGCAGAGGCACAGAAGCACACACACACACACAGGAGCTGAAAGACCATCCAGCAATGATCCATAGGACTGGCAGGTTTAAATAGGGCCATCAATCCAGAGAAGCTGCATCACTTCCTGCGCGCCACGTTGGCACATTTCCGTGCGCACGTACGTTGAGCGCGCATGCGCAATAACGCCAGTTTCCAGCAAATGCGGAAGACAGGCATACGCGCAGAAGCATCCGCAGAAGCATCCACACGCCCATAGTCTTACATTGCCCCCCCCTCCCCCCCTAAAAAG